GTACAATTGTTCAAAAGCAACAATATAAGCTCAACCATTGGGATGGATCTGGGTTGGCGTGAGTAGCAGGTGATTTAGGAGTTGTATCTTAAACGGGGAGAAGGGAAACTGAATCCCAATCTTTGTCACCAGATCTGGATAGAAGAAAAAAGAGTGTGGCTCTTCAGGGTTCCGACCAGAACAAACAGGTTCGTCATCTGTAGGAACGAACATATTAAAATCAACCGGGTTGCCGATGGGAAGCCCAGACACTTCTTCGGTTGACATCTCGGATGCAAAGCTCAGCACCTCTTCTGTAACCCATGGATATTGAGTACGAAGATTATCGGTGACGGGTGCAGAACCCTTCTCGGTTGTACTCATCCCGACCTCTGGACCTTGGCTAGAGGAAGAAATATTCGCATTCGATTCTGTAGAATGGGACTCCATAAATACCTAGAACAGTAAAATGGAGGATTAAAAAGCAAGAATAGCACGTAGCACAAGGGATACGTACCCGAATTAAACAAATTACTGTCAGAGGAACTAGAGTCGTCAGATTCAAAAATAGGAGCAGGGGTTGGCGAACTCGGGGTGTGTGAGCAGCTGCCCAAAACTAGGTTGGCCATGAAGTCATTCCCCCTCTCCACAAATTGAGCACTAAGGTATACACAGTTGAAACAAGGGTCAGGATTGATAATATTTGAGCGAGAAGGAACTCTCACACATGGATTCGAAAAGGGAGCAAATGTAATAGCATGGACCGGGGTAGAATATAAGGGAAGAGAGGACGAAGTTGTCCTGGATGGGTTGCCTAGGTTACGGGGACCCCAACTTCGACCCCGGGCTGAAGGGCGAGAGGAAGCCCGTCTACCTCAAAGACCCCCCCTGCGACCACGGACCGAAGAATGAGATGAAGAGGCTCCCCTATGGCCACCACCTCGATAGCCGCCTAGCAAAGAAGCCTGAGTTTCTTCCTCGGTTCGAGGCCTGCCATACAACCAATACCTCGGACCAGGAGATAGGCTCTGGATGAACCTTTCCTCTTCTTCTGCGTGTCGTTCCTCTTCTTCGGCATCAATCTCATCACCACGACCGAAGATGCGTGGGCAAGAGGGTCGTCCTCGAATAATATAATTTCTCTCACCCATATCAGAAATTATTCAAACCAGGGTGCGTAGGAAGTGAACGGGCAGCAGATAAGCTTATATAAACAATGCAAGACTAGTACAGAGAATTTAATCAGACAAAAACAGCATGATGCGTCACAAATGCAAGTTGGCACATGCAAAGGAAAGAAGCAAGCAAGTAAGTCTGGAATAAATGAAGCACTGTAAAACCAAAGGCCATGGCCAAGTTAAAAAATTGACAGAGAATGCGACAGAAAGGAAAGAAATGGCGAAGGAAAGTACCTGCGGAAAATGGCGTTGAGGAAACTGGGAATTGGCAAACGTAAAAGATGGTGAACGCCGAAGGAAAATGATGTGGATACTAGCAAACGATTCTGGACGAAAAAACAGGCAAATGGTCTGAAAAACTGAAAATGGTAATATGAGGGTTGAAATCGAAAGGTTAAACCCGCGAAAGCCAAAGGGCAGGGGCATTGTGGTCATTACAGGGTGGACATGACAGTTGAAAGACGTTTCTTCAGAAGCAATAAATGCCAAGGCGGCGAGAAACGCACTATGCCACACGTCGTGCCTATTAGAAGAGAGTACGTGGCAAAGTAATCATTAGGTGGAAGAGAATTTGTTTCCCACTTCAAAGCAATCATCAGACAGCAGTTAGTACAATCATTCTCTACGCTGCCGAAATAAGTGACCGAGTTTCTAGTCTAAGAGGGACGCAGGACCGAGAACCCGACAGAGAGGGACGCAGGACCGAGAACCCGGCAGAGTGACCCGGATGAAATTGGCAATAGAACACCCCGGATACAGTAATGCTTGTAGAAACCTGGGAAAGCTCTCCTTCTCGGAGCCGAAGTAACAAACACAACGGCCAGATGACCAACGTACAAGCTAAAGCACATACAGCAATCAGCTTGACTTTGACATCCCGGCAACCTGAAGACTCAGTTTACCGGGCTGAGGGGCAACTGTTTTGGACCGAGGAAAGGCCCACGACTACAGGAAGCCCAACCAACACATGCCCAAAGGTGAGCTCTATAAATAGGAGCTAAAGACCACAGGTATGACTGATCTCCCTAACCCTATTTTATGCAATCACGACAGTGCACACACACACCCCTTCAGGTTGCGGTCATTATATAGTGTGTGGTGATTTGCTGTTCCCAAGATACCTAATTGATAGGTATCTAGAGAGAGCCCTAGATCCAACATCAATTACCCGACCTACGGTTGGACACATCTGCCCAAGGAAGAACAGAGCCCAAAACGACGTCGTTTTGAGGCAGAAATCAAAGTATTTTTGTAATTATAATTTATTTCAGGGTTATAATAGACTTTTTCATTATAATTTTTTAATTTTTCAACTCAAAACAACGTCGTTTTGGGAGCAAATGTAGATAACTTATCTACATTAACTTTAGAAACATTAGAGCCATAATATATATCTAGAATCACCCTCACCCCCACGGGATTAAGTGTAATGATACTTAAGCAAAAAGCACTCCTAAGTGGGAGTAAAGATTGGAACCTTAAAAACATCACTTACACAGACAGTATCATGTTTCAAATGATGTTCTTAATTGATCCAGGTGGATCAAAGGTTGATATTGGATTTCAAATGACGATATTTATGAAAGCGACAATCATAGGTATTAATAGATCATGGGATAACATAAAGCTGAGAGGTAGTGCGTATGCACAATGAGAGCAATGATACTAGAATTCTAGGTGCGTACCAATAAAAGAGTTCTTTACCTGAAGATAATTTGGGCCAGACCATATGCTTAATTGTGATTTGTGAGTGACTTATGATATGGTCCATAACATTTCCATAACTTTTATGTAGTCATTAATTCAAGGCCACACAAAATAATTTTTTTTTATTTTTTTGCCTCTGCCATTTCCGTGGCGCCGCATTTTCATAAGCAAAATCGAGAACAAACAATCACTTTCTAAACAAAAACTAGTGCGTTTCGCCGCTGCACCGTTCGATTTTTGAACAATAATGTTTTTTTTTTTTTTTTTTTTTTTGGCTCTTTGTTACAAAGTGAAGGCCACGTTACAGAAACACAAAAAGGTTTCACTTCCATATGTCAAGATGCTCTTTCATCCACAATATACCACTTTACTTTGAGACTTTGATGGGGTTTATGACCACAATGCTAGCCGATGATTTGTTTGATCATCAATTCACCAAAGATTCTTCTCTCACTTTATTTCTCCAAATCAAAAGTTTTAAAGGAAAAAAACGTTTGTATTTTAAGATATAACTTTATATCTTTTTAATGGAATGGTGTTATTTTGATGTATAATTTGTAATTTTTTATATTCTTTCTCTTCCATAAAATTAGAAAAAGAGAAAAAGTGGATGAGAAAGAATATAAAAAATCACCAACATCGTTTCATATAAAATGATACAAAATTATATTCTTTAAAAGAAAAATTATTTTTTCCAATTTTAAATTATGGTATGCAATTACAATTATAGTTGTAATTTTTTTCTTCTTTTAAATTCAGAATTAAAGTATCCCCACTCAACTACTTTATTTTCGGAGAGATATCTCCTCAAATGAATAGATAGGGTGTAGTAAACGGTGGTGGGTAAGACTAATCTATTATGGAGTTTTCGAGTGCAAAAGTTTATCCAATCTGACCTAATATTTAAGGCACACTCCGCTAAATATGTCACCTTTGAGATATATGGTTGTAATTTTTTTTTAATACTAATAGGTATTAAAAGTTATAATAGACCCGATTAATTTAGTTTTAGATTTGAACTTCTTCACCCTACCACAAATTGCAACTCTTATTAATATTTTAATTTGAGAAGTTTTTGCAACCGTCTCAGCCACGTTTATCTGATTTTATTTATTTATTTAGTAATCACAATATCTCAAATAAGAAATATATTCTCTCTTATTAAATTATTATGTTATAAGATCCAATGAAACAAAAGATAAATATAAATATTTAAATACTGCAAACAAAATATAAAATCGTACTCAAGATATTATTATATTAGAATGAGGAAGGTTATATTTACAAACTTTTTTGTTTACAAACTCTTACAAACTACACTATCTTCTCCGGGGAAAACACTAGGTCACAGTATCTTCTCCTGGGAGAACATAGTGTTCTCCTAAGAGAACTTAGTGTATCTGTAAAATAAGTTTGTAAACGGATTCTTCTCCTATTAATACTTGTATTAACAACAGAGCACTAAATATTATTTCTATTGATCGTTGGTATGCCCCACTTCATTTTTATGGTTTTTGCGTCCAGATACACTCTTTTGTTGAGCGGGCTTCATGGCATCCCTTGAAGGCTCAAATGGTCTCATTTTTTATATGCTTTAATCAAAATTCAACAGAGAAACAAGTGGAACCTATGATCCATTGGTACTCTCTGCATCAAATATGTATTTGATATTGATACTTGTTTGGTATACATGAATATACCCAATACTCACTCAATATACACGTATCTTATATCACTCAAGTACAAGTCAATTTATACTAAACACTAAGTTTTGTTGTTAAGTTGTTTGATTTGCTATTATGGAATTCTGTTGAAATATTAGAATCAAAACAAGAAAATTATATTTATCTTATGATTGAATTTGTTTATTGTTTATGTTTTTTATGTTTATCTATAATATATCAGTTCATATCCGTATCTTATTTTTCAGGAATTTTGGCATATTCCGATACTCATATAGCCATATCCATGCAACTTAGGGTGGAACCATACACTAAATATAAACACAGAATAAAAAGGTGGAAAGGATATGGTAAAATAAATAACAAGTACAATTAGTAGCAAAATAAATATATGTAAGTCCACACCATAATTCATCAATATGAAACAAAAATCAACAAAGACTCATAGTCATAATCAGTTTACATATTCCGTGCACCTAAAAACAAGAATAAGAAAAAGAACCACCAGTACTATACAGCAAAATTATGTTGATTCTAGCAAGCCAATTGTTTAACTTTGCTCACTTGCTGGAACTTGATGAAGGGGTTGATTCAACTTCACAGGTGCAGTAAGTGGAAGAAGTGATTGGTTTAGCCAGGTATGTGGGTTTGTCATCCCCTGCCATGATCACAAGTATCTTGGGCTCTAAGTCAATCTCTATGTTCTTGGGCATTACTTGTAATTTGATGTCTTCACCTTCAGTTGATAACTGAAAAGCATGCTTTTTGTAGGAGCAAATAAGGATCACCAATGCCACAGAAATCAGAATCAGCAATAGAGATAAGCCTCCAAAGAGATAAGGAATTGGAGACTTCCATATACTAATTCCACTTGCTGATGATGAACTGTTTATTGGCCTCATCTTTTTCAATCTCTCTCTCTATGGGGGTAGTATATGTGTAATTATAGTGAAATGAAGTGAAGTGGTAGTACCTCAATTTATAGTATAATTGGCACAATTTAATTTACAAAAGCACCCTTTTGGGATTGAGGAAGATTCCTTTTTATCCTTGGCCAGATGCTTCATGAGGATGTCAAACGTGCAAAATACTAATGATTTCAGACCTCAAAAGTGCCTAATATGATATAAGCACTAAGACACTGCATTAATACTACTCCTGTTTTTCAAAATTACCAGATTATTTTATTTTATTTTCTGAAATCAATGTTTGTTGACTTTATAAATTTTCCCAGTTTCTGACCTACCAAACAACATGCTTGCCTAAAAATTTTGTTTATAATTGTTCATATGCAAAAAGCAACAGTTTCGCTAGTCAAAATATGGAAAGATGCATATAAGAAATTTCTCATCTCTGGGAGTCTCTAGCTATTTGGTGGAAATGATAGATATCAACCTTCCTTCCATCTGTTTCCCTTTACTAGATGAACAAGACATCTTGCCTAACTCCAGCTGTTTCTAATTTAGCAAACACTGATGAATCTGGAGAGGCAAAAGGAAAATATCTTTTGCTTGAGTTATGCAATTGAATAGGTAACTAATATCCACCTTAGTTCAGTTGAAAATACATGCTCAATAGGTGGGAACAGAACTTGAGTTCGATTCCCACCAAATACATTTTTTGGAAGGGGACGAGGAGTCGGGATTAGAGTTGGTATACTAAGTGCTGACTCGCCTTAAAGAAGTAATTAAATTTGGTATATAAAAAAAATAATTTATACAATTGTATTAAAAATTTGATAGAAAAAGTTTGGCCACATTTGTCGTGCAATGCAGCTCGAACCAAAATAATTGACTAATCCATTAATCGGTGGAAAAATTAAAAAAAAAATTAATTAATGTATCTTACAAAGCTTTTACTATATTCCTCTTTTTCTCATCCACAAGATCCATAAGCAATTACAGGTTGCAGCAACCATGTGAACTGAATTCTAGCACCATATGTGACCTATATACCACCTATTCAGTCATAACCCCAATTTGAATTTTTTTCAAAATTACTTATGATCTCTTATAGACATACTTAGTAAGACATGTAGTCAAGGAAATGGTTTTTCTACTTTTTGAATAGATCAATTTTGTTTTTTGGATGCAATGTGAATAGATACTGAAAAAGTTATGTAGCCATGAAATTGTCGGCTTCCGATGTGCCAGTTAATTGACGTAAACAGAACATGTTTATATAATGTTGGCGTATATCTGTGTGTGTTTGGCCAAGATTTCCACCAAAATGAAAATGACGCTATAAGAATTTCATAAAACATCGTTGATGAAGTGGTCCAACTCCCAACCATTCTCTGTTCCCATTTCATCTCAACAATTTTAGAAAACAATTTTAACGTACTTGAAGAGATTAGGGTTTCAAGAGAATGTATAAATAAGAATAAATTATTTATTTATCCATGGATTTACTATATTGGATAAGGCCCTTTATCCAAGATCAATGGATCCATTATATGGGGACAAAACAACATTAATATTAATTAATGAATCTTAAACAGACTTTACTTGTGAATTGTGATTTTAACCTTAGGATTAGATTTCAAAGTTTTGCTCATATGAATTCTCTAATTTCAACAAGTCAGAAGAATATTGTAATAACCAAGTAGTATTATTACCAATGTTACAACGAATCAATTTCACCGTTAGATCAATTATGTTGATCCAACGGTTATATTTATTTCCATCTTTGTATGGTTATGATTCTTCATATTTAATACTTTATATTTATTTTCACCTTTGTATGGTTATGATTTCTCATATTTAATATTTTCACTTTAAATATGGGGAATCATAACCATACAAAGATGAAAATAAATATCACCGTAGGATTAAATAATTGATCTAACGGTGAAAACGGTGAAATTGATTGGTAGTAACACTATTTGGTTGTTACAATATCTTTCCCTTTCAACAAATAGATTTCTTAACTTTTTTTTTTTTTGTAAATAATAGATTTCTTAACTTTGATTAGACTAGAAGCATAAATTAGTAAGTCACTAGTAGGGATGTAAATGGGCCAGGCTGGCTCAGCCCGGCCTACATAAAGCCTAGCTTGGCCTATCCTTTCAGAAAAGTAGAGTAGACTTAGGTTTTTAAGAAAGTCTTCTTAACAAATAGGTCGTAGGCCAATTTTGTCAAGTCTGGCCCGAAGCCTTGTAGGCTAGCCTATTTAATTTATTAAAAATAAATAATATTTATTTTATGTGGAATGGCAAAGTACCAATACCAGTACCTATGTAATTTCTCTTGTAGACTTTATTTTAGCACCCAATAATTGTATTTTTCTTATTTTCCCTATTTCTGCAATGGTAGGTCTACAAGGCCTGTAGGCCATGTCAGACTTTCTTATTTTTAAAAATAGGCCGGGTTTGACCTACAAATAAAGTCTTTAATAGGCTAGTAGGTCAAATAAGCTGATTTTTTTTTTTACGTAGGCTTGGGCCAGAAAGGCCAAAGTCCAGCCCAGCTCATTTACACCCCTAGTCGTAGGATTGGTGTAATGATAAGGAATTTGGGTAGTTAATATTATGTTATATGTTGAATTCCAACTAACTAACGTATCCAAAAAGAGAGCGGATAAATTAATTGAAGTTCCTAATGGGATGAATACTAACTGACCAAAGTCGTATTGAACAAAAAATAAGAAATGCGAACGTGGGAATCGAAAGTGCAACCATATAATCCCATTCCTCTTATTACAACCATGGATTTCAGATACTTTTATAAAACCCCACATTTCCATTATCCAAAATAATAATAATTTTATTTCTATTCGGATAGAATATACCTGGACTACATCATGCTGTGATTTTTTGACCGTTGATTGTCGGTGATAATTCCGTTGAGTGTTTCATTGGACAAGAGGTGGTAGTTCCGAACATTCAAGTGAGTATATGAGAGTTTGACCTCTGTATTTATAGAGGGTTTATAAGGTGGAAGAGTTTGGGTAGGATTCAAACTCCTAAATAAGGTCATTATTATCATTGAGCAAGACATTTAGAAATTGGAATATATCCATTTTTATTAAGGTAAAAATCTGAGTAGTCAAGATAGGTCTATATTATATAAAAATAAATCTGCACCAGAGAGTAAAATAATAAAGCTCACAATATGTTGGATGAACAGATGCAGAAAAATTGAAGAAATTCAAGTCCAAGAGATGTTGTTTTCTTAAGACAATTTGTTCTATTTATTGATGCCGAAGGCTGACGAACAATTGTCTTCCGGGATAAAACGAATTTGTGTCTCTAGAATGATGGCACTGCCAATCTGAAGCCCCCTCAAACATAACCGAATGGTAGAGAAATCACACTCTCTACGTCTAAGGCACTATGTACTATGACTATGGATGAGTGCGAATAACTTCGAAAAATTCTGAATTTTTTTTCTGACGAACAACATGTATTTATAGACACCAACCAGACACGATGAATCACCGACGGTGAACCAATGAACCGCCGCCGGCGAATTGTTACAACCAATGGTAGCGAACAAGTTAAAATAATCGAACGCACCGTCTCAGTTAAAAACGGCGGGAAGGAATTGAAGCATCCTTGGCGGTTCAAAATTGGAGGGGAGCAACGGATAGGATAGGGACATTTTGGACCAAAAATTAATAAAAAATTATTTAACAAAAAATTATTTTATTTCTCTCACACACACGCACGACTGATCGAGCAAAATCGACCGGACGACGGCGGCGACGACACACATGTCTGTGTGTTGGACCAAGGCCCAACTACGTCCTCTCTCATCCACAAAGATGGTGTGCTCCAAGGGGTAAACTGGAGAGATGAGGTGGAGGGTTTAAAACCTTCCACTTCTCATGTCTTGTCCAATGTGGGACCCACACATCCCTTTCACCTTCCCTCTTTCTCTTCTTTCTCAACTCACTTCTTATTCATAACCCATGGGATTTATACACAAAATCCAACAATCCCCCACATGGATAAGAAGTTAATTCATCGTGACCAAATGGAAAAGAACATGAATGCAAGGTGTGATTCTTCAGTGAAAAAAAATTGCGTCGAGATAGGTAGGGGTCACTTTTAAACATTCTCTAGTAAAACCCATCGAGTGTACTCAGTCAATCGATGGTTAGGATGACTTGAACCTTCAACCTTTTGTGTACACCAAGACATTAGGAGTCACACATTGCTTCCTTAATATTGTTGGTCCTCATTATTGTGCCCATTTTGGCCCTAGATACCTGTGTAGTTCTATAAGTGATCATTCTCATAGAAGAAGCCCTCACTTCACACTTACATAGGTGATTCCTTGTGATGTAACCCAACATATTTCATCTGAACACATCAGATTAAGAAACCATTAAAAGCCTAAACGCTTGCCCTCATAAATACAATGTCTTGTCATAGGAATGAGTATGAGTTTAGAAACTCTACAGTGTTAACAGTCGATTATCATTTAGTTTTCTCTTTGAACCTAGTTCGTGGAATCTCCACTCATCAAGGTAGAGTTGCCGTAATGATCAACAATTGATAGTCCTTAAACCCATCCCTTCCGACAAATTCTCAACCAACTCTCTAGGAATCCCTTTAGTCAACGGATCCGCTATATTTTCTTTAGACTTCACATAATCAATTGTAATGATTTCACTTGAGAGTAGTTGTCTAACGGTATCATGTCTGCGACGTATATGTCTAGACTTGCCATTATACATGACGTTCTTGACCCTTCCAATAGCAGCTTGGCTATCACAATGCATGCACATAGAAGGTACCGACTTTGGCCAATTGGGAACATCCTTAAGAAAATTATAAAGTCATTCAGCTTCCTCACCGGCTTTATCTAGAGCAAAAAATTTTTATTCCATAGTTGATCTTGCAATGCAAGTCTGCTTAGACGACTTCGAAGACACAACACCCCCACCAAGGGTGAAC